TCAATTTAGGTGTTAAATGTAATGTCTAAATAGTAATTTCTAAATAATATGTAAACGTCTTGTTTCAGCTTTGTGACAAAAAATGATAAATGTCTCTTCAAAAGAGTATTTTGAGCAATGTACAAATTAGGTTTAGTTTTCATTTCAGCAAGCAGCTTCAGACATTTTAGATTTAAAGAGAGCAAAGGCTGCAGCCATGCACAAGTCTGTGGGCATGCATTTTAAGCATAATATATTCACATCAAAGCTCTGTCAGTTTATATCAAGTTTCATATTAACTGATCAAAAAACCATTTCCCTCAAGGTATGGGAAAGCTGCTGATTAGTGAGCTCCTCACAGAGAAGTTAATGGTGAAAACATTCATTTGATACTCCATAGTGTTCACATTTTGATTCAGAGTCCAGTTTGAGAAAATTATAGAACCTTTTTAGCAGTCAGATCAACACAAAATGTTACAGAGCACCTCACTTTGGTTCTTGAAGCTGTTTTTGTTCAGTATCACAAGAAAAAAGTAGAAGAGCATGAACTTCCATAGAAGTGTTTACAACAAAATGTAAATGTACTTTACTTTATTAGAAAATACTCAAATGTAAGTACTTGTATTTGGTTTTTAAAAATATGTTAACGATAATGTTAACCCTTACCGTATGATGATGTTGCCAGTGGGACATTTACAACAGGTATTTTAAGTTTGAGGTAATATGAATTCCCTAATATTGTACATGGATATAATGTTGCATGTTGTATTTAGAGCATGGATTTGTTTTAGAAAAATTTCATCTTTAATTGCGTGTTTCTAGGCATGCCTTCCATCATTAGTCTCTTGAGTTTGAGCCAGTCTTTCAGTTTCTGTGATTTGTATTTATGCAACACTCATTGCACAAAATATACTATTTATTAGTTTGGTCAGTTTTTTATAAGCTTCCAATTAGTTGCGGGTGTTTTGAGCAAAAGAAAAGAAAAACCAAATTTAGTACTATTATCATGAAAGACCTACTTTATATCATAAGAGAAAAAAAAACACTGTTGCATCTTTTCAAGGCAAATAAGACAGAACTCAACACCGATCATCGTTGATATCCACCATCATGGACAGACGGACAGAGAGCATTTCTATGTACTCTGCCTCGGCAAGGGGGGACAACTATAAGGTCACAAATGAATCAGTGTGCAGATTGATAAAGGCACTAACCTTGAATTCTGCACTTTAAATCTTTTAACTCCACACGTCTTCCTCTACGGAACAGAAATCCAGTTGTTCCGTCTTTTTATTTTTAATTTTCCATGTCCTAGTTGACTGAGAACACACTTCCTTTCAGGTTTAACTCAGGAAATTTGGGTGACCAGTCTGAAACCCAACCAGACTGAGAGACTGAGAGAGCTCCAGCATGTGGTAAGCAAATAGTCCAGACTGGCAAGACAGCTCTGGTGAGAAACCGAAGAACTGTCCATCACAATCCCCCCACCCCCCACCCCCGGGTCATAAAAATGTTGTGGTGCCACTCACCCCCCACCCCAGGGGGATACCCTGTGAATCCATCATGCCTAGTGCCTAACATGCAAGCTTGTGGGGGCAGATAAGGGTGTAATCAACATCTCGGAAATGAGGGGCACAGATTTTTCAGAGGTCTATTGAGTGATTTATCATCGCACCTCTCCTTAGTGGCAAAAATCATAAAATCACTAAAAGCCACAGTACAGCACCAGGGGACCAACTTTAGTTATTTAAACTATTTACTAACAAAAATCTAAAGTTTTAGCTGCCAAATTCTGGTTGAGTTGAAACAATTACCCTCCAACATCTACAGGGATCTTTATATCTACAGCCAGATCTTTAATTGCCAAATGTCAAGACTGAACATGAAATGTTTTATAAAACACGTTTCCTGTAAACAAATTATTACTTAGCACACAAAATAGAGTTGACTTGGTAGAAGGGCAATAAGCCACATAATTTAATTTAATGGCATGAACAAAGAAAGTGACACAGCTCTAAACACATCAACATTTTAGTCAAATGTGATAACAGGAATGTAAAAAATTAATCAAACTAAAGAAAAATGGCATGACCTCCACCTTTTGCCTATAAGAACACAAATAATGCAATAGTCAATTTTTTGAAACTGAATAATTAATAAATAAACAAAAATTTCCAAATATAAACTACATCTTTAATCATTTTGTCAGTTTTTTTTTTTTTTTTTTTTTTTTTGCTTATGAACTAAACAGTTATCTCTTAATTAACTATATTACAAAATAATATTATCAGTTTTATTTTTCTTTTGGACCAAAGTAGAAATAATAACAAAATAAAAAATATGTTGGAGTGTGAATAGGAGTAATTCTGAAATATCTGCAAAAAGTCTGTCCTGATTTCTGTTTTCTTCCTGTAATACATTATAGTCTGCCCTTACCTGAAAAGGGCCTTCATCAAGGTCCCTGTTGGTGGATCTGGTCTAGTCTCTTCCCTGACTTTGGGTTTATCCAGAGCAATAACTAGCAAGGGAAGTAACATAGGTAATGACAATGTTAATATTCTTGTTAACTAACTTAACATATTGGCATCTATTAACTTAATCATTTAGCTAATATTATCTGCCTCTAACAGCATTACTAAACTTACATGAAACAGTGTGCAAAGCTTTTTCTTTCTTTCTTTCTTTCTTTCTTTCTTTCTTTCTTTCTTTCTTTCTTTCTTTCTTTCTTTCTTTCTTTCTTTCTTTCTTTCTTTCTTTCNCTTTCTTTCTTTCTTTCTTTCTTTCTTTCTTTCTTTCTTTCTTTCTTTCTTTCTTTCTTTCTTTCTTTCTTTCTTTCTTTCTTTCTTTTTTTTTTTGCCTTTTGCCCTGGCTAGTATCTGACCCACATGATGCAGCTGTGCCAAAGCACATCTGTGATCCACAGGTGTACAACTGTTTTAGCTCATGGTGCGTTTAAAGACAACTTGGAAAACATATCCTAATAACAAATTAAACTGTTGTAATGGCTGAAAATAATGCGGGGGACATGTCCCCGCACTCCCCATGTCCATTGTACCCATGGGTCAGGGCTATGATCTGACTTTGCGGCAGTTGGTCTGGTCTAGGTCAACTGACTACCTGAATATACTAAATAACCAAGTTATTCCATCAATTGATTTTCTTTTCCCTGATGTAATGACGTGTTCCAAGATGATGATGCCAGGATTCATCAAGCTCAAATTCAGGGAAGTTCAGGAAGCATGAGACATCATTTTCATACATAGATTGGCCACCACAGAATCCAGACCTAAACCCCATTGAGAATCTGTGGGATGGGATGGAGAAGATGTTGTGCAGTGGTTGGAATCTCCCATCATCAATTCAATGTCTTGGCAAAATACTAATGCAAATTTGGACAGAAATATTTGTTGTGAAATTGCAGAAGTTTCTGAAAAGGATTACAAAGCGAATCAAGGCTAAAGGTGTTCCAACAATATGTTGGAGTTTGTTACTGTTTTTATGAACAGGCATGTGTGTGAGTGTATTTTATCTTGTGTTTTTATGATTATATGAACACTCTTCACAACTTAAACAGATTGCTTCCAGTTTGTTTTACATCCATATGTAAAATGACAATAAAACTTTTTTTTCTACTTCTTCTTAAGCACCACCACCTCCTTGCCAAAGCACATCCCAAATCTCCAAGAAGTGTTTGTTCAAATGTGAGATTTGGACAGATCTAAAACAGCTGATTGCTGACATCATGAGTAAAACATGACAAACAAATATCACCATGTAATTTATTATCTGTCTCAGTTTGAAGCTGATATGAAAAGGCAAGCTAAAGGAGATTTTCCCTAAGTAAAACATGTGAATTAGAACAATTCTGTTTTGTTTTTTTTCATCTATCTTACACGCATTTTCCTTTCAGGTTGCGGGAGGGGGGGTCACTGGTGCCCATATCCAGCGGTTAAGTGCGAGGGGTGGGGTACATCCTGGACAGGTCACAAGTCCATCACAGTGTTGGTTTCATGAGAAGTCAAAGACTGCGGTCTGACAAGTTGTGCTAAAAATTCTTAAATTCTTAAATTTTAATATTGACCAAGTCTGAAATCAATAAATCAAAATCTAGGAGGATTTTGTTCAAATATAATATGTAAAGAAAACCCACACAGCATTGGTGTCTTTGATCCAAAAAGGCTGGCTTCTTTTTGGATTTAGGCTTTACCACAAAAAGACTTTTGTGCGTTCTACATGCGTACCAAATTCCAGACTTCTAAACTAATGAAACCTTAAATCTTTGTGTGCTGCTACCTTAAGCAATTCCATTTGTGAAGTAAATTTGACACTGAACCCATTACTTCTGTTTACATCAGTAAATAAAACAGCTAAAACTTTTTGGCAGTATTACAATTTAATTTGATTAAATAGGCCAACTAAGTGGGTAAAGTTTAGGACAGACGTTTCTAACAAACTAAGTGGATGGTAAAACAAAATAAACATGTCAATTTATTACTGATATACTTTTGTAATGTTTTACAATTTGAGAGTTTGCAAGTGTGCAAAAATTGGAAGACTAAGTCATCTCATTCAACCTACAGTGTACAAATAAAAATCAATGGATGAGCAGCAACAATTTTTGCTGGTTTATTTTGACAGTATATAAAACTGTGTGTACGCTCAATATTTGACATTCCAGCTTTTCATAATTTTCATAATTTTTAGTTCCCCGCGGATATTGACCAAGTTTAAAGTCAATAATTCAAAATCGAGGAGGAATTTGTTTCAATGCATGTGTAAAACCATCTTACATCCTCAGTCCCGTTTTCCTATTTCCCTTTCAGCATTACCTCCACTCTGCTTCACAGTATTTCTCACCATATTTCCTTGTGGCAACTGAGGATGAGGAAGTGGGTGGTGTTTGGGTGGGGCTACAAAATAGGGCTGAAGACAGGGAGAATATGTTTGATCCCCTGACCATGATTCTTGGGCAGACGTAGTCTGAAATATATTTAATTCTTTCTTTCTGCTTCCTTTTGCAGAGGTCCTTCTGCAGTGCCATGGTGGACGAGCTGCGAGTCTCACTGAAGTGTCAGCGACGTCTAAAACACAAACCCCAGCCGCCTGTCATAGTGAAAACAGAAGAGGTCATCAACATGCACACCTTCAACGACCGAAGACTGCCAGGGAAAGAGACCATGGCCTAAATCAGGAACCTCAATCACTTTCCCACTCACGCTCCTGTACTGAGGTTGAGTGCAAAGACACTTGGAAAAAGAGTGTGGGTAAATGGTAGATTGGAGCAATAAGTTCTTAAAGTTGACAGTTGAGTTATAGAGCAAGATAGCTTTGCAGTACATTGCTGAAATGTCATTCTTCTGTATTTTTAATTAGCTGGGGATAAGCGAACCAACGATATTTCCTGTGGAAATAACTTAAACCTGTGAAATATTTCAGCAAGTTACCTCATTATTCTTACCACACTGGCAACTAACTACAGATACCAGGATTTTCAAAACTCCAGAGTTGAAAGAGACAGTTTTGGAATAAATTTTAAGGAAATGAAAGTAGCTGCTTTAAAGGGAAAAAAAAAGAAAAGGAATTAGACTGACAATCTTGCTTCTCAGTCATCATACAGTGGGTGGTCAACCTGAGAATGGGGAAATACTTTCTAAAGGTTTCTTTTTTTTTCAAATGTCAGAAGAATGACCACAGAGACTCTCGGCTAATTTTGCTCTAACTATGAAGATGATGGCAAGCAATGCTTACAAAATATACAGGGAGGCATTGCTGAGCCAATTATGACACTAATACTAAAAGTGGGTATACTGTGTACCATCCATCAGGCAATAAGTGAATTCATTTGTTTGTGTTTCAGAGTACTAACACTTTTTGTTTTCAATAGAAAAAGAGCTGATTTTTAAAGGCTACTGTATACGGTACATTTAAAGCAGAGAATGCACAACCGGGGGCAATGCATAGTGGACTGATGGTGTCCAAGTGTCAGCCAGTACTCAAAAGTATGCAGATATGTTGGAAATACACACACCTTAAATGCTTTCAGACAGGGAATGGTTCCCATTATGACTGGCTGTGATATCTGTCTTCTCTGTTTTTGGTGTGTATGCCACAGGCTGCTGTTGACAACAATCTACACAGTCCAGTTTCATTACACTAAGAAACAAAAGATGTGATGACACGTCCATTTTTATAACAAAAAAACTGTTATCACAACAGATTTTGAAGCTGAACTGTGTGTTTACTGTTAAAGAAAAGATGTCATTCAGGTAGAGTGGTGCCAGGACACTCACTTTAGGTTTGGTGGTTGCCGTGGTCAAACAGAGACCAATCACAGCACAGAGCCATGTGCAACCACTTGAGTGTAGCTGACATGTTTGACAGTCATGAAGGGATGTTCTAGCTGTCTGAAAACACTACGTACAGTGCCTTGCAAAAGTTTTCATCCCTCTTGGTAATTTTTCTATTTTGTTGCCTTTCAACCTGAAACTTGATTGGGTTTTTAATTTGGTTGAAGTCAACAATTCTGCAAAAATACTTCCGATTAATGAAGGTCAAATTAAATTTGTTTTAAGTATTTTTAAAAAGTATAAAACGTAAAAATAGTGTGAGCATTAGTATTTTAACCAAAACTCAGTACTCTGAGGTGCATTTTTATATCAATTCCAGCATGAAGTCTCTTGATGATCATCTCCGTAATTTTGACCTTCTGAATATGGATTTTTATTGTTGTTCCCCATTCTTCATGACTAAACTGCTCCAGCTCCTTCAGGCTGAATGGGAGATGTTTGTGTCTATTGTAATCTTTAAATTAAATCTGAGATTCTAAGTTGAATTGAGATCTGAGGTTTGACTGGACCATTCCAGGACGTCCTTATAGCAAGTGTTGCGTGTGTTTACGTTCCTTGTTCTGAAGACAAGTGAACTTCTGTCCTAGTCTCAAATCTCTGGAAGACTCCATTAAGCTCCTCTCAAGAATTTCACTGTTCTGCCCCATGCATATATCCTTTAAAGAGGACTTATCAATGCAAATGTCTCTATTTTTAGCCATTAGATGAATTTACTGTGTACTTGGAGTATCTATGAGGGCAGAAATTTAGTATTTAGTCTTTCCCAGTGCTGCAAACATATTTTTATATTCTGTTTGGGTCCTTTTTTTCAACTTGTGCAGCTTTCTCTGTTTCCTATGACGTTTTCTGAACTACTACTGTACGTCAAGGAATTTGCAATAGACCCACCAACTAAAATATTGTCACATTTATTTTCCTCTGGCTCTGGATCAGACTCTGGCTCCAACATGTAAGGCTGGATGGACAAGTCTTCCCTTGTTGACATCTTTTAAAAAAGTAATAATCTTTAGTTGAAACCTTTCTCTCAAAGTACAAAGGACCACTCTGTAAGCTGGAGGTGGGTGTGAGGTGTGAAGCATCTCATTTGCACTTAAAAAAGACAGCCTCAAAACAAGTTGCTTTGAGACACACCTCAGAAAAGGGGTAAGAGTGGCTTGTGGATTTACAAGGAGGAATTCAGACCAAAGAAATTTATATAGACCACAAATACAGAAAATGGATGGATGGATGGATGGATGGATGAATGGTTTAAATGTGAAAAAGAAGTATTTAAAAGCATGACATGTCTCCTTTATCTGTTTCCCAGTCCCTTCTGATAAAAAAAACATCATCAAAGCATAATTCAACCACCACTTTTCTTCATTGTAGGGAGAATGTTTTCAGCAAGACAAGAAGTGGTAGATACTGTATCTTCAAAATATTGTATTGTCCTTGATGTCCTGATTGAATGTGGTTTCATGTGACCACAGAAATCTCCAGTTTTTCCAGCCACTCTTCTATACTCTGTGCAGCTTATACTGGTCTCATGGACTGGTCTTACCATCTTCCAGCTCCAATCAGAGTTATCGTTGACCACCTAGAGGTTTCTCTGATTAGTACCATCTTTATCCCTCACGAGTTTAGGTGGCGGACCGTTTCTTGGCATATTTGCTGTGGTTGCCACAAATTTGCGATTTCTAAAAATGGATTTATTAGTGCTCCATGGACCTTCAGTGTTCTGGGAAATTTTGTTCTATAATTTAGCTCAAATAAAGTCAGTTATTTATAATGCTTCTTTCAACCAAAAGTGAAAAGTGGAGCTTTGTGTAATTGTGTTCAGTGTGAGTTGTGGCTGTGACATCTCCTGCTCTGAGCATCTTGTTTGTTTTTACACAGTAAAAGCTGGGAGTGCATAGCCCATTCTGTCTCACCTTTATAAAATATTATAAAACTTGCATAGACATTCCTATACGTAAGCTTGATGTGCAGCACAGCTAAATTCACAAGTTAGGGGGCATTTACATGGAGCTGATTTTCATTGAAACTGTAACATTTTTGATGTAGTTCAGCCATTCATTTACACAACAGTGATAAAAGTCTGTGACACTGAAACTTGTTGAATTTTGGTCTCTGAGCATAAATTATTTGGGATAACCCGCCACAGAGGTGTGAAGTACTCTGCAGGTGTAAAAAACACTCATGCATGCTACAGGTGGCAGCAGGCAAAATATTTTCTCTGCACTAACAACGGTTACAATAAATAGCGGTGAACAGCGTGGCGATTTGTGAATGTCGTTCACCTCTTTCCAGCAGATAAGAGCAAAACCAACAACATACTGGGCTCAATGGAACAATAGTGTGTTCCCCAGTTTGGATGTAACTGTGATCATGCTGACACTGCGTGTGCAATGCTTGCAGCTATGTTTTTGTTCACATTTTCACCAAACACTACACACACCCTCACTGGCTACATATGACAATTTGGGCCAAAATACAGTCATTTTAAAGCTGCAGTACAAAAGTTCACCATGTCCCATCTGGCAACCCTGTACTATTGTAGCTCTATAAATGTAAATATGTGGTTTATTTGTTTATTTGCCCAATAAAAATTAAAAACACAAACATTTCCGGAGATTGTCGTCGTGTGAACAGGGTCTTACATGGGACTTTGTTCTTCGTCACAGAATTACTGTTGGGATTTTTTTTAATTTTCCCGTCTGAAAAAAACAAGCTGAGCTGAAGCGTTCTTCTTGTTCTCCATTGCAAACAACTTTAGCTCAGTGTGGCTGGTCAGAAAACTCCAGTTGCATTTCTGCCACCAGTAGGGTTGCAGCAGTACCACTGGTGTGCCAAAAGGAAGGGAACTGAGAAGGTGTGTATTTAAATTAGGTTTTTAAACACTTTAATTTTCTCTGCAATTATTATTTATTTATTTATTTTATTATCAAAGACACAGATAAGAGTTTTCAGCTTTGTATTTATACACACAGACACACACACACACACACATATAATAT